TGCTTTATAGGCTACTGTTCCATAGTACCCGACTCTGGATTTTGGAAGCATCTTTTCATGGTGAAGACTATTGCTGTCTGGTGAGCTTACTTAGCATACCTCCTTGGTGGTTATCCTGGCTCAGAATCTAGATGTGGTTGCACTATGCCATCTGCTGCAGAGGATGAAGCCATCAGGTTTTGTGATCTGTTTGGTGATCATGCTGAAGTTGCCAAGAGAAATCTTCCCCCAACGCAAAGCCTGTCTCTTTCTCTTGGGTGAATCGTATCAGGATTGGGTAGGTAGGCATTCATGTGAAGAAGGATCTTGATATGATCCTGATGAGGCTGAAACCCAGGTATTAACTGTGATAATCTGACTGTCTTCCTCTTCTTCTCCCCATATCAGCGAGGGAAATGATGGGTGATTCGTGTTTCAAACAACACATATTTCAGTTGGTGATTCATGGTGGAGGCAACAAACCCAAATAAACCAAAAAGCAAATGAACCAGAAGTCATATAAGCAGTGGTCCCTCCAGTTATTTTGTGATTGAGTTTGTAGTCCACTCTTTTATTCTTTCCAGTTTACTCTACTATTAGCTAAATTTGTTTGGGTTCTCTCCATTTTCCCCACAATTGACATTTTTAGCCTCTTTTCAGGAAACTGTCGGCAGTCGTGGGTGATGAAATATACTCATAGGACCATCAATGGAGATTCGTGGTGTGACGAGGATCCGAAGGTTTTCAAGGGGTTCTCCACTTCTCCTCCGCAATCTCGATTGTGAAATGTGAGTTGGAGTCTTAGATCCCATACAAATCACTCGGGCTTATCTTGATGGTGTTACAACGCATTTCAGTAAATTTGTTTAGAATTAATATCTGGTTAGTTGTGGTGTAAGTTGTAACTGTGTAGATGAGGATTGTCAAGCTGAGGTAGCTTTCAGATCTAGGACTTTTTCAAAGAGCCTCAAGATGGGAATTTAGCTTTTGTTTTCCCGGTCATTGGGAATAGACGAGTACTTAACTAAAATCGCTAAATTCCTCAATTTAATGCTTTTGCCACTCGAGTTTCAGTCGTATGTTTGTGTATGTCATCTTTATTTATCATGTATTTTTTTTAATATGCTAACCGAATGAAAATAGGGTTAGTATACCCACATATATAGCTTTTTGCTTCCACCTCTCAATCATCTCCATGTTTTCCCTTAATTTTAGTTTCATGTTGCTTGCTAATCTCTTTATCCTTTATTTTCTTTATTATGCAAACACAAGTCACTCAATTAAAGAAAACAGTATAACCAAGTAGACTATAATATATTTGTTGTAAATTTTTTTAACTAAATGGTAGATATATAGTTGTTGGTTGGTACTTCTATATTTTATAAATATAGTTTTAGGTTATTAACTAATTTTTTTAATTATTCATATCTTAGAAAAGGAGATTAATCCTGAAATTAGAACTCAAGTAACGGCCTAGATCAACCGACTAAAGTCTTCGGGCTTAAATATATGCTTAAGCTTCCTTCCATGGGTCACTAATTTAGTATCGTCGCTGTTGTCATGTATATCATACAGGAATATGTAGGGGCATCACAATCATTTTGTTTCCTTTACATTAATTCACTTTTTTCTAAATTCTAATCCTTCCTCTACCAAGATGAATCAATGGGAGGCTAAGAGAAAAATGTCCGATGATTGAAAAGCGACATCGATGGTGCAATTTTGTAAATATTTGATATTATATTTAAAATTTTATTAAATACAAAAATAAAATAATATTTTATAAATATTTTGAGTATGAGGTTCTCCGAAAATAGATGGTGCAATTTTGTCAGGTTCCCACTCGGTTGGGGGATAGTTGTGCAAAGTCGGAACGGGTAGTGTGATTTTTGTGCAGGGTTTTCAATATGCAAGTATCCTAAATTCCTATCTAGCTGAATTGATGGTGCTCCGAGATGCAATCTAATGACGATCTTCTTTTTTTTCCGAACCGAGATGCAATCTAATGACGCTCTTTGAAGAGTCTTAGGAGGTGGTATTCCAAGGGGATGCAAAAGCAGTCATTGATAAGGTACGGGATCAGGACATACGTGATGCCAGTGGTGGATCCAGAAATTTTTACTAGGGGTGTCCTCTTCTAAAAATTAAATTAAATAATTTATAAATAAAAAATATCATATTAGTACAAATTTTAACAAAAAGTCACGATGCGTTTTCATATTTCGAAAGAAATATATATAGATCTGGTGTCTACACTGCTCAACAAATCTGTATATCCTACTAGACAACAATTCACGAACTGATTGCATATTCAATTTCTAACTTTGTCCATGATGTAATTCAAAGTTGAAAAGACTCTTTCAACACTTGTCATGTAACCATAAAATCAATTCAAAGGTATCGTGTTTTTACTATTACATAGTGTTTAAAATAGAACAACAAATGAGTTATAATCTAATGGAGAATATGTTTAGTAGTAGTAGTAGTATCCTAGGTTTGAATAATACAGACTATCGCCTATAATTTTTTTAATCATACGCAAACTACTATCGAGAGTAAGATAATTGTTTTTTTTTTCAATTTTTAGGGGTGTCTCGGATTACCAGTTATATTTTTGTTTATCCATACGAAACTACTATCGGGAGTTGAATAATCGTTTTCCCAAATGTTAGGGGAGTATCGGGACACCCTAAATCACCATGTATTCGCCACTGCGTGATGCTAGAGGTGGAGTCATTTTCCAGGAAATTGACAGACTCCAGCATTCGTATGAACACTTTGTTTTTAAATTCATAGGCAAGCAGAACAACCGGGCAACTCATATGGTGGTAAAAAAAGGTCGTTTCTTTTGTTTCCTGTAGGTGTTCGTTGTTTTGAGTTTTGACATTGGCTTTTTTGTGGATTGTAAACTATATTATCTTCTAAGTTCTTGGTAACACAAGTGAGCTATTAACAATGGATGTCGTACCTCAATGAAATCCATAAGTATTGTTTGTCTAACCTACCCTTAACACAACAATCTATTCAGTTTATTTTTCCTACTCAATGCCATTGCTAACGGTTTAATTTATAGGCATTTTACCTTTGCTCCAGGTTTCGTCGCAAATATGAACTATGAGGGAGCCGTATCTATTTCTCATGTGACTGATACAATGGATCTTATATTGTTGCAATTGGATGGTGACAATGAGGTTGTTTAAATAAGCTTTTTGTTATTTATTATTCTCCATCTCTTATGCCTTTATAGCGTTTCTTCTTTTGGAATGTTTTTCCCAAATTCATTTTTTTACACTGGGGCACTTCTTACCTCTTCTCCGGACGTGTCACTGAGATGAGGACATCCTGGTGTGCTGCATCTAGAGTACATTTGATCCACGTAACTATTGAGGATGACATCACTGATGTTGAGGTTGTTTTCCCACGATCATACTTACGCAGGATCGTTGCATCTTTAGTAAGTCCTGAAGATATTGTCAATGCCGACTATGTTACCCTTTTATAATTGCTTGGTGGAAACTCTTATGAGGTCATGGTCACAGTCGGTCTTTGGAACAACGTACGTTTCGAATTATTTTGAGTTGTTCTTGGTAAAATTATTCTTGCCTTCGGGTAACTGAATAATATTTCAGCAATAGATTCTACTAGCGTTGCTTAGTGTCCACCTCTATGTAATTTCTCCTGTTATTCAAGCATACTGGATATGTGAACCCTAGGGTATTTTGTACGAGTTCTATCCTTCCTAATCAATTGTGGATTGGATCTTTCTTTACATTACCCATTCTCAATTACCGAGGAGTGGTGGAAAGACTGTAATATTTATGTTGTAATATTTAACCTTCACCTCATAGGAGTGGTGGAAAGAAATAAACATCAGTTGAAGAAGGTAACAAAAATAGAATCGAGAACATGTGAGAATGATACGTGAATATCAAACCTGATCAAATAAGATATTGTACCCACCGAGATCATGGCGAGTACTCATCATCTGTCTGTGAAATAGTCGAAGGGCACAACTTAGCTTAGATATAGACTCACACTCTTCCAAAACCAAACACAATATCAACGTAAGATCCGCGAGGAAAGAAATTGCTTCGCAGTTCTCAAACCAAATAGGTCTATAAAAAGCGGGCAATCTCACTTACTCAATGGAATATGGATTACAAAGTCCCAACGAACCTTTGTAACAATTATCAATTACTAAGGAGTGGACGGTAGATTGTAATATTTACCTTTCATACTATATCTATCTGAGTACTTGAGAGTTGCAAAATTACTCAACAGATTACAACATTATTGCTCAGACTTTTTTCGCCCAATGGTCCCTGTTTATCCACTGATGTTTGAACAAGGGTTTTTATATAATTTGTGGAATTTTTAGTAATTATAAAATATAGATTTATGATCTGGAAATCGATCGATGATATTTGTGCAACTTAAGGTTGCTACTTTCTTAACGAAATTGGTTTGTTTCAATATTCTATTATCTCCTTTTGTTTGGTTCGAAAGAAATTCTTTTAGATCAATACAATTTGCACAACCCTTTGCCCGTACCTGTTATTTAACAGTTTCATCTTCGGTTTAAACACTACGGCCAAAAGGATTATGTAAAAGCCATTCAATAGGTAAAGAGACTGCGAAAATAGGCTTGCCTATAAAATACATATAGATACACAATCCGTTGAGAAAAATTCGATTTAAATTACCAAATGAAAAAAATATAAAACAATCCGGCCAACGGGCCGGGTTTAAGCTAGTAGAAACAAAGGGAAAGGGAATGCAAACGCCATAATTTCCATCCATGGATCCAGCAAAATTGCCCCATTCCCGTGCATAATTAATATGTGCCAGTTAATTCTTTCCCCATCCATATTTATTTGGGACAGCCATTAATACTTATCTAATTATTAACTATAAAATTGACCAATCAAAAGGAGGGTGTCGAAAATCACTACCCCTTTAAGGATTAGCATAGTATCCGACCCCGACGTTATACAAATTGTAGAATTTTCTAAAGAATTGAAAAAAACAATTAAAAATCTATTAATAACAGCCTCCACCCTTTTCGTTTGGATCCTCTATATCTCCCTGCTTCCTCATCGCTCGGACGCGCGAAAATTCCACAAAAATTCTTGTCCGGTCATTTCTCGATCGTAACAGATCCACCGGCGGCCGATACAATGAGACCAACGACGACTTCATCTGCCGCATCTTCCTCCGCCACCACAACGACAACAACAATAGTACTGGAGAACCCAGCCCAGCAGCAACCGCAACCGCCATCGCAAACCCTAGTTTTGCGCCTGAATCGGCCTAAGAAGAAAGTTTCATGGAAGGAAGGCACCGTGGACAACGAATTCATGCAGAAGAAGAGCTCCAAGAAGTGCTGCATCTTCCACAAACAGAAGCCCTTCGACGAGGACGACAGCGACGAGGACGAGGACGAGGACGATCACCATCGGCATCATGGCGGCGGCCATCACGATCATCCCTCCTCGGAAGGCTGCTGTTCTTCCAGCAACGGCCAGTGTGGTTGATAAATTTGGGTTGCCGCATTGCTTTTGTGAGTGTAGAAAAGATAAATTCGATTGCTTTCGACCTATATTTGTTTCATTACTGATTTACCACTGGACCCAGGGAATTAACGATTGACTTGTTCCTTTTGTCCTGATATGATATGATGTGTTTGGAATCTCATCCTGATGAATCTCCATTGAATTTGGTAATGGTTGTTTCCCAGATTATCCTGGTATTTGGTTTGCCCGATTGATTTCATTTCTCATTTTGGACCCATATATGAACTCATTGGATTGGAGAATTGCCGAGGGAAGCCGAGATCGAGCTTTACTTGAATGTATACGTGCATTCTGAATTTCTTTCATTCACCATGACCCCTGACTTTGTTGTGTGCCTCGAACCAGTCCCTCCGCCCCATGGTGGGTTTTCTGCTAGGCGCAGAATCTAGAAAATCAATGTAGAATGCTTGTGAATCACTCAGTCATGGTTCTTTCTCATTGGAAATGGCCCTTGTAGTATACATTTACTGCCTGGGTTGGTTTTTTTTTCACACCATAAAGTGCCCACTTGAATCTAGTATTGTTGCTATAAGCACAGATGTGATTTTTTATTTATTTCAGAGTTCAGTGGGTTTCATTATTCGGTTGCCAGAGTAAAGGACGAATGTTACGATGTCTTGCATTATGGCCCTTTGGATGGTCTTCCAGGTGCTGGATGTAATTGCTGTCGATATCCCTGTGGAATAGTTTTAGGCTGCTTGTATGAAGAAATCGGTAGTTGGTACAGGCATTTTTTCTGGTACAGTACAATATCTTGTGTCTACAATCTGGAAGTAGATTGTCCTTGCAGGTTATTATATAGACCACAGCGGTTTTCGTCAGTTCAAGTTCAGTATTCTTCCTATTTAATTCTGCAATGGCCAATGATGCTGTCATTAATAGTTTAACCAAGATGTTCAATTGGCCTACATGGTTAGGGACATCTTAGACTTGCCTGCACTTATATGCAACGTTTAGACTCTTTCTGATAAGCTTGTTTCGCCAAAAGGTCTGGCATTTGGAGCAAACTCCTGAATGCTGATTCTGCAGCTGGTTCTTATAGTGTGGTGACGGAACCATGAATAGGACGAATGTGTTCGGAATTCCGATTGCATATTCATGTGCGTTTTAATTCTTTTCCTTGCACACCATTTATCTGCAATCCTTTATCAAGATTCATAATGAGCAGGATATTGCAATTAAGCTAACTAGATGATTCGGGTCCAATTGTACACATTTTATCCCTTCATTTCTTGATAGTTTGGCTTTGCATTTCATCGTCCATCGACTTGTTTTACGTTAGGTTGTGCTATTTTTTATACATTTCAGGTCCTATCATGTGTGGAAGGGTCGATAACGAGTTTTGGGACGATTGGAGGTCGAAAAGCGCCAAAAAGAACAAAAGTACGAAGTCGCGGTTTTGCTCGTCTCGCAGGCTTAAAGCGATTGTGACAATTAACTAGAGACTGTGAAGTCGGACTAAAATCGGCCAAAATGTTGTGTTTTGGTCCGATGTCACAGTCAAAGCTCCAATATCACGGTCGTGAACTTCGGACCGTGAAAATGACTATCGGGCTCTACAAATAGAAGGTTGCTGGTAGAGGGAAAGGGGGCTTTTTGGTAGGTTTTTAGTGTGCAAAATAACAGGAGGTTTCTAGTGAGAGATTAGGGTTTCTTATTCAGAGCCAGAGAGAAAAAGTGTCATTCAATGCAAGAAGAAGGAGATATGGTTGCCCTAACCTAGAGGATCGGAGGTACCTTCTTATCGAGTGAGATTCAAGCAACAAGGAAGGAATATAGTCATCTCTTCATGATTCTTTCTCTCCTCTTTGTTGTTTTCCCTTGCCTAGCTATGAGGTAGTCTATCTACTCACTTGGGTATTGTGAACCCTAGTCTAGATGTGTGTTAGGATGGACGAACATGACTCTATGTGCGTTGATTGATTGTTTTATATAATGTTTGAGATATTATTCATGAATGATTGAGTGTTGCTAGCTTAAACTCACTATTATGTCATGTTGACCTAGGTGGAAAAAAATCTCCTTGTTGTAAGAGCCTTTAAGAAGCTGGATTCTTGGCTAATTTGTGCCCCCCACCTAGGCTAGGCAAATGAGGGCAAACCTCAAATGTAAGATTAGTGCCATGATCCCATCATGATTGGTTGTTGTCTGCCGTCCAGATTAATTTTCGAGGGATTGGTTCTTGCAATCCTTGGTTGATTGGTTAAGAAGGCTAGATTTCGTAGCTTATAGTTGCAATCTTTAGTGGAATGGCTAAGAGAGTTAGGCCACCTAGCTTATTGTTGCTATCCTTAACTAGTCGATTAAGAAAGATAGAGTTTCCTAACTAGTTGCACCTGCCTCATGGTTTATAAATACATCATTCACACTAGAGTTTCGTTTATTGTTTCTTAATACAAGATTAGGGGGAGTACTCTCATGTAGAATTATCCTCGATTTTCTTTACTTGTTTGTTTTCATTTGTAGTTTTTCTTAGTTTTGAATAACCAAAAACCATTTTTGCTAGATAACAAGTTAAGCGATTGAAGTTGTGGTACATGGACCGACCTGGGGTTGACAATTAAAACATATTTGTCCTATACTGCACTTGGCTAGAGTTTATACTTGTGCTCTAGTCGGGAATATAATTCGCGGTGTAATCCGAGCTAGTCACTAGAGATGGCCGATCGATTTGTTTTATGAATTGATATGATTTATGAATTGGTAAATTCATAGATTAGACAAAAAATACATTTGTGAATTCGTGAATTGAATTCATAGATCCAATAACATCTAAATATTGAGTTATTACGAAAATTTTGAAAAGTTTTAGTACTAAAATGTCATTTACAATATTTTCCATTAAAAATGGAAATTTTGGTATCAAATTCTTAAATAAAAATTATATAGATATTAACTTGATCAACTCATTAATCCAATTCATGAATCCACCAATTTATTTAAATTTTGATTAAATGGTTTAAATTAGTTGGATTTTTTAGTGGATGAAATATCTTCAAATTGTCAGTTCTAACGCAAAAGCTTGATTTTTTGGTGATGAGTTATTTTTTGGGTTTGTAATAAGGGAATTGGACAATCTGGATATGGTACTCATAAGACATTTTGTAATAATGTACTCACATGAACAATATTTGTTCTCATGAGAGAAGCTTAAATGGAAGACTGAAATTTGTTGGTTAGGAAAGGGTTGGGAAGGGCTGACGAGTGGCTTTAGTGCATTTCGACTAATGTAATCTTGCTCCACCATGAGTATATAAATGACTGAGACGTTGTCACATAAGGTGCAACTGTTATTAGTGGCTAGAAGTGAGTAGCTATAGAAAAGGTTTGGAAAAGGGTAATATGGCTCAAGTGGGTCATTTACCTAAGCAAGACACTACAAAAAAAGAACCACTACGAAGGCGTTTTGGCGAGCAAGCTAAATTTTTTAGCAACTCGGCCCTCATTAATGTTCTTTCTCACAAACATCTTTCTCTTTCTTTGAATTCCATCATCATCTATTTCTCCTCCCTTTATCTATGTTTTGCTCTCCTTTTGATACGATCAAAGTCGCACAACTCAAGCAATCCGAACTAAAAGATAGAACCAAGATAGGATGGAAATCAATCGGACATAATTCACTCGTGAAAAAGGGCAATCGATAAGAATCCACCAGACAATCTCAATTCATAATTAAGAGCAATTGATATAGGTAGCTCGCCATAATTAGGGTGTATACCTAATTGATAAGAGTCTCTCTAACACTCCAGAATACTCAATATAGTAATCCTCGCCATAAACCTTCAAACCAACGAGTTCAACCCTTTAAATAGGCCTCAAAAAACCCAAATCCAAATATAACAAGGAAAACAACCAAGTAAATCGACTTTGAAAGCAAATAACAAGTTCTGGCCGAGTTTAAACTCAAAATAACAAACACAACACATTACACCTTCTTCTCGCATTCTGCCTCCTCTTAAGGACTCTCTTCTTCCTCCACGACTTGCAACATCATAAAGAGCTTGCACTTGAATAGCTCTACGTCCATGCTTGAGAAATAACAGGCCAAATACATTGCAAAATTGTCTCTCATCATCTTTACCTTAGCACGTGTGATTAGCCATTTGATGCCCTCATTAGTCCCTCATTCTTCAAAAGGATTTGGCCTCAAATCCGAATTGCCATCCAAATAAGGTGCAAGGTCATAAACATTAAACGTTGCACTCACTTCATACTTACTCGACAAGTCGATCTTGTAGGCATTGCTGCCCACCTTCGAAACCATTGGAAATGGACCATCACATCGAGGCAACAACTTGATACTTCTGTATGTAGGAATCTCTCCTTCCTTATGTGCACCCATACCCAGTCTCCCACTTCAAAGTGCCTTGGCTTCTTGTGCTTATTGACATTCCTCATAATCTGCTACATTCTCCTTTCAATGTTCAACCTAGCCTTCTCGTGGAGGCTCTTCACAAATTCAGCCTTCTTTGCCTCCATCGAGATTGACTTTCTCTTTGAGAGGTAATAGCATCAAATCCAAGGGTGTGAGAGGATTGAAACAATACACGAGCTCAAAAGGAGAGAGCTTGGTCGTCGAATGCACCATTATGTGGAAAGCAAATTCCACGTGGGGTAGACAGGCTTCCCAAATCTTGATGTTGCTTTTGATCACAGCTAGAAGCATCTGGGATAGAATTCGATTGACCACTTTTGTTTTCCCATCGATTTGAGGATGACATATAGTAGAAAACAACAACTTTGTCCCTAGTTTGCTCCACACCGTCTTCCATAAATAGCGTAAAAACTTGGTGTCTCGATCAGACACTATAGAACGTGGCATCCCTTGAAATCTCACCACTTCCTGAAAAATAAATCCGCCACATTCACTGCATCATCCGTCTTGTGACATGGGATGAAGTGTGTCATATTTGAAAACCGATCCACTACCACAAAAATGGAATCACTGCCCCTCTTTTTCCTCGACAAACCAAGCACAAAGTCTATAGATATGTCAATCCATGGAGCATAGGGAATCGGTAATGGTGTGTACAACCCAAATGGTTGCATCTTTGATTTGGTTTTCTTACACTCCACGCATCTCACACAAAGATTCTCCACATCTCCCTTCATGTGAGGTCAATAAAAATGCTCTTGTAGACAAGTCAATGTCTTATCTACACCAAAATGCGCCATGAGACCTCCTCCATGAGCTTCCATCAACAACAAGTCTCGAAGTGATGCACGTGGAATACATAGTCGATTGGCTCGAAATAGATAACCTTCACTTCGAAAATACTTCCCATCTCCATGTTTTTCACAAGCCTTATAGATTTCTTAAAGTCAGCATCATCATCATAGAGCTCCTTAATATGCTCAAACCCCCAAATATCTAGCATCCATTATGGTGTTCAACGTATGTCGCCGAGATAGGGCATCAACAACTAAATTATTCTTGCCCTTCTTATACTTGATCACATACGGGAAAGATTCAATGAATTCTACCCATTAAGCATGTCTCTTATTGAGCTTGTGTTTAGCCTTCAAATACTTGAGCGACTCGTGGTCAGTATGTATCACAAACTCCTTCGGCCATAGATAATGATGCCAAGTCTCCAATGCTCGTACCAACGCATAGAGCTTCTTGTAATAGGTAGGAAAACTGAGGCCAACCCCGCTCACCTTCTCACTAAAGTATGCAATAGACCTATTCTCTTGAATCAATATGCCTCTAATCCCCAAGCTAGAAACATCACACTCCACTTCAAACATTTTACTAAAGTCAGGTAACATCAAGACGGGAGCATGGATGACCTTGTGCTTGAGTAGCTCAAATGATTTGGCATGCTCTTCTCCCAAATGGAACGTCACGTTCTTCTTGATTATAGAGGTCAAGGGTGCGACAATGGTGCTGAAGTTGGACAAAAAACGCCTATAGAAACCAGCCAACTCGTGGAAGCTTCTCACTTCATTTATGTTGGTAGGAATAGGCCAAGCTCGAATTGAATTCACCTTCTCTTCATCCACCTTGACTCCATCTGCACTCACCCGAAAACCAAGAAAAACAACACAAGAGGTGCAAAACGTGCACTTCTTGTGGTTAGAAAACAGTTTTTCCTTTCTCAACATCGCCAAAACCTCCCTCAAGTGATTGAGATGATCCTCCAGGCACTTCGAATAGATCTGAATGTCCACGAAGTAGACAACCACGAACTTGCGAATAAAATACCTCAAAACCTTGTTCATCAACCTCATGAACGTGCTAGGGATTTTGTTTCATTGTTGATGACTTGATGTATGTGCCAAATTCTATATTTGATTGATGATTTTACTTAGTTGATGGATGTTTTAATGAAAGACATGAGTTTGGTTTCCATTTTCATGTATTGAGCTTTTGACCTAGGAGGGAGACAATCCCCTTAGAGCACTTTTTTGGCGTATTTGGGTCATTCCCCTCCCTATATCGTTCGGGTAATCCCTGAGGGAGTCGATTGGATCGAGCTCTTATGATATTGGGGTGCCCTATGTTGAATACAACACCACCCATCCACCAATTCGCCATTCCGGGTCGATTTCGAGGGAGTTTATCTCCTAACGGTAGAGTAATTGATACAATCGAGCTAGGATAGGTACTCAACATCGTTCAATTGACGGAACTACGGAGATTCAAACCCAAGAGAGCTCCCAACCTTGTAAATAACTAGTTTAGTGGTTAGCTAGGTGAGTTAGTTAGTTTAATTTTCTTAATCACTATCCTAGGTTGGCTAGATAACGAACCCTAAACTGAAGTAAGGTAAGCCTAGATCCCCGTGGTACGATAAATCATTATTGCTTGCGTTCCCTATTCTACATCCGGTCGACGTTTATACTTGGTTGTCGATCGGGATGTTTTAGTTGGAACGAGCCAACCATCAAGAGGTTGGAAAACCTTGCATTGTCAGTCCAAGGGATAAGGGAGAAAGTTCAAAATCAAAGGATGAAGAGGTGTTTCATCCCACAACACCATCAAAGGCCAAAATCATGACGGACTTAGCCGAAGAGCGCTTTGAAATAGGGTACGACTATGTCGATACTAATGACTCTAACCTTCCTCGGGGTTGCTTCCACATGCATTTTGAACATGAAGCAGAGGAAGAAATGCAAAAAATGGTGGAAGAGCAAGAAGAGCAGAATGATACATCTAGTGGAGACTTTGCTCATGACCATATTATTCCCCCTAGTGAACAAGAAGAAAACATAGAAGATGAAGGGATAAATGATGAAGTTATGGTTGATGAAGAAGAAAGTGAAGAAGATGAGTTTGAGTTCCAAATTGGAGAGGACATCAAGCAAGAATAAAGAGAGGAGGTTGAAGAAGAGGATGATGATTGCTTGGGATTAATTCGGGTTAGTGTGCCCGAAGAAGCCATTCACTTTGACCATGGAAGGTTACCCGAGCATGAGAGGCTCCTAGCATCAGATCCTTTTGTAACTCTTTGATGAGACGAGGCCAACTCATCATCAATACCTCTTGGTGGATGTGATGAAAATCCTTCAAAACTACATCATTTGGTTTGAGGGAAAGAGAAGAAGAGAAGAGTTAAAGAGAGGTTTCATTGGAGGTGTCACAAGCATTCTCGTCTACATGAGCCTTCACTGAATGATCGAGATCGATCAAGACTTCAGAATCCACTTTGCCGATGAAAAATTCAACCTTAAGGAGGTATTAAGCAGGAGTGAAGACATGAAGTCAGCCGTTCAACGACAAGACATAAAAATTGTGCTAATTGAGAGGCACTTCAACATCTGTTTGTGTTTTCTTTTACTTAGCTCTTAGTTTATTTTTCATATTTGCATGTGTTTAGTGACTTTATAGGTAGTTGAATATCATAGGAGTCATCATTAACCCCAGAATTCATCATAATTGATGCATGATACAATAGGAAATCAACATTCAGGGTTAAGGGAGGTTAGAGAGTCGGAATTGGTGAATTTCTGCAAATTACGCTATGGTCATGACCATGACCAAGCCGTGACCAAATTAATTGAAATTATGTGTCGAGAATCGTCACAGCTTGGTTACGGACTGTGATGTGGCCATGACGCTCTTTCTGATAATTCTTTCCGAGTGTGGTTACTGCCTAGAAAAGGCCGTAACAAGGCCGTATTCATCAAGCTAAGCCAATTAAACTCAAATTTTCAGAAATTTTGTTCCTCTTCTGTTCAATTCAACCCTTAAATTCCCTCTCCTCTCACCACCACCAAACATAAATTCATCAAATCCTCATTCCACACTCAACCAATAAAAAATCCAAGACCACCATCAAGAAGCACCTCTCATGCACCTCCTTTCCATCCCCATCACCGGCCAGAGCTTTCTTGTCGGATTTCATGAATCCATCAAGTTTTCCGTCAAGCTTCGTCGGGAAAATCAAATATAAACTCCTTTCCTCCCTTTCCCAACCTTCTTCTTGTTGTTCTTAGTCTCTCCCTCAAGTATCAAGGTTTGATTTTCACCTTAGCACTTTCAATTTCATATTCTTAGAAACCTAGGATTGAGAATTCAGAATTTGGGGAATTCATTATTCTAGTTGAAATTGAGTGAGGAGAATTATTGGAATTGGTGATTGAATGGTGTTGGAATGATTATTAGATGAATGCTAGGAAGTTTGAGGCTTGTTGGGTTGATTTCTACCTTTGTGGCCATTAGGTGAAAATTTGCCTACCAAATATTTGTTCAAATGCCCCAATGGGTTAGGATGTTAGATTAATTATTAACTTTGATGTATTCTAGCTTTTGGAATGATTTCAATAGTACCCTTGATTTATATAGTATGTTTGGTTAGTTTTAAACATATTTACCATATGATGCTTTATTTGAAAAAATTGATTTGACACGATTTTGGTGACCTCTTTTATGTGATGATGAGTTGCAAATTAGACAATTTTTTGTTCACAATGTGATATCTGTATGCCATAGAGTTTAGCTCAATCATTATTTTGCTTCTTTCAACATAGGATCACCTCATTTGAATGATTTCAATACCATATGAAGCATGGTTTGTGGATTTTATTAAAATTGGTTGTTTACGTAGAGTTTGAGCTTTTGTTTAAAGAACAAGTGTGGGAGAGATTGTTCATATTGAGAGTTACGAACGAGGTAGTGGACTCGTGTGCCACATGTGTGTTGTTGCTTGAATGTATTCATATGATCATGTCTCCTCGACATGGTAGACAACACTCCTAGCTCATGGATCTTAATGGAACGAGGAAAATGATTGAGGTGGTGAACTAGATGATGGAAAATGATCGAGGTGGTGAACTAGATGATGGAAAATGATCTTGGGTTCCATCAAAATTTGACTTTGAGGGCATCTGAGCCACTGGACTAGAGGAGGAGATTTGAGAGCTCTTGAGCCATGATGAGTGGTTGACCCTACTCTCCATGAGGGAGACCATATACAGGGAGTTGACGATGGAGTTCCTAGTGACCTTCAAGTGCCTCTATGGGACCAACCAGGATTTCAACTTCGACGAGGAGGACACGGTCACCTTCAGACTTGGAGGTGTCATGACGAGTACGAGTGTCACATCTTTCAGTGTGGCACTCAGCATTTACTGCGAGGAGTTCAACGGGACCCAATCTTACCGCTACTTGAAGAGGAAATGAGATGTAGAATAAGAGATGCTTCTTAATTCTTGCAAGAACAACCTCTCCAAGGAGAGCATCACTACCAGATGGATAGCTAAGAAGCTCCACATCACAATCCCGTTCTTGGAAGCAATGGCGCACATGCCAAGGTATGCCAACCATCTCAAGGGGCTTCTCGCCAAAGAAGCCAAGATATGAAGACCTCGCCAATGTCACCTTAGGCGAGGAGTGCTCCTCCTTCATTCTCAACAAGTTGCCCAAGAAGCAACAAAATCCAGGTAATTTCACTATCTCTACTTTGCATCAGAACACATCATATAGAAAAATCCTTGGCGGACTTAGGAGCAAGCATTAATGTGATGCCTTACAAGCTTTTTAGGAAGTTACATCTAGGTAAGCTAAAGACTACTAGGCTTAAGGTCACATTGGCCGATCGCTCCATCATTAGCCCTAGAGGTATTATGGAGGATTTCAAAGTGAGAGTTGGCAAATTCTATTATCCGACGGATTTTGTTATCCTTGATACTAGTGCAGATGCGGATATGCCAATCATTCTGAGACGCCCTATCCTTGCCACCGCCAAGGCCTTAATCGATGTTAATGAAGGAACTCTGATTTTGAGAGATGGAGAGGAGCAACTTACTATCTTAATTGATCCTAAGATTAAGAATGATGGTGTGAAGGAAATGGACTCGAATGGTGTGATTAGGAGTGTAGGCGAGCCTCTCAAGGCGAACCCCACTATTACTTGTGTTCCTTGTGGTGATGTGAAGTAGGAAAGTGAGGAGGGTATCAAACCCGAAGAAAGGAAGAAGAAAGTGTGAAGAGAAAGGATGAATCACGTTTATACTCGAAAGAAGGATAAGGGTAAAGCGAAGGCAGTTGGCCAAGAGGGCCATCCGATGGAGCTTAAGTTGGGAGATGACAAACCTCGCCCCGAGAACGTGGCGAATCCACTGAACTTTGTTATTTTTGTTTTCTTTTGTGCGTAAACTAGTACATTTGTGAGTTTTTTCTTCTTTTTATCGTGATGTGGAATATTGTTATGTGTAATAACCTCATCTCGAGCGAGAATGTGCTTGTGTTTTGTGTGTTTACTCCTCCTCTTTGAAAGAACAAATCTCCTACCCTGGAAACCGTCCCACTTTCACTCACCAAGCCTTGCGGTAATATCGCTCTACCCCCTATTTTACGCCATTGAGGCCAATGTCGAGCTTAAGTGTGTGTGTGTGGGGGGGGGGGGGGGTAGTTTATTATTGTGCTTGTGTTTGTGATTGATTGCTTGGAGCCTTGATATATGCCCAAATTTTCAAATTTGAGGGCTCCAAGCGTTGAATGATCAAAGTGGCCGGTTTGTGGGAGAATCTCGTGTTTATTGCCATTGATCGTGAATAGATTACATGTGATTGAGTGTGTCCTATGATGATGAATGAGAATTCATTAGGTGTGTGCAAAAGTTTAGTTCTCATGTGTGCCTAAATGAATGTATAGAAAAAAAGAGAGTGACCACCAAAAATATAATAAATGTTCTTAGAAGTGTTGCTTAGCATGCAAGCTTTAGGAACACTTACATATTGTTTTCCTACCACACTCTTGTGCTTGAAATTGAATAGCAAATGTAGAAAGAAAGATTGTTGTGAATGGGTTGGTAATGGTTTGGAAGAAGGGAAGTGTGGTTTTTGGCCGAGGCTAGTGGTCGCCGATTGTAGGACAGGTTCTTAGTCGAAACCATAGAACCTTTGGTTTTAGGTTGAAGATGTAGGACCTCATGTTATGTTTGCCACCACCCAAAAAACCTTTTCCCCATGCCCAAGACAATTGCTAGTAATTTGAACCTGTGACTAAGACCTCCGGACAAGCTAGCAACGACACCCATCTTGTGAGCTCTAGCATTTATAGGCTACCATAATGGCAAAGGGATGTTAGGATTGAGCGTGATTATGCACATCTTTTGCATCAAATGGTCCTGACCCCACTGGTCGAGAGTGAGTGATTCATTCATCATGTTTTGTTCATTTCTTATACCCCGGTGAGGACCTAGGTTGCTTGATCTTTCGTTCCTATGATGTGATCTTCATGCATGAGTGATTGTGATTAGTGAGTCGCCGAAACAGGTTATGTGTTGGTTGATGAATAATGTGAGAACTCTTCATTTGCACAATCTTAATACAGTTGAATGTCGTTTGTGGTGGTTGCCAAGATTAATTTGTTTTTATCCATAGGTCGGTGTCAAATAACCATTGTGATTCATTCATTTTGAGCCTTATGGCATGCCCCAATTTTTTTTTTTTTTTGAAAAAGAAGTTGTAAGCTTAATTGTTTTGTGCTTGGTTTGCTTGGGGACAAGCAAACGTTCAAGTGTGTGGAATTGATTACATTTCAGGTCCTAGTACGTGTGGGAGGGTCGAGGACGAGTTTCGAGTCGATTGGAGGTCGAAAAGCGCGAAAAAGTGAAAAAATGCCCAAAGTCGACCATGACAATTGCCCCGTTATCGTGAACTGGCCAGGTTCTAGAGCATTTCTACAATTTACTGGCGCCAAGTCAGTTCATGGTCGTAAGACCGTGAAGTGTTTTAGTGAAACAGCGCGTTTCTGGCCGAGATCACGGTCAAGGCTTTGAGTTCACGGCCGTGAGCTCAGACCATGAACAACCTTCGATCTGGGTATAAAAGGCATCAGTAAAAGAAAGAAAGAAGGAAGATGGTTTTTGGAGAGGGATTCGATTCTCTCTCTAGGGTTCCAACCCAAAACACTAAAGGGGAGTTCTAGTGAGAGAGAGCTTGAGTGATCTTGGAGCTTAATTGGAGGCTTGGATTGATCTTGAAGACAAGGATTCAAGCCTATAATAATAATAATAAGAAGAAGAAGAAGAAGATCTTGTGCTCCAATTTGTAATTTCTCTCTTCTCTCTCTAGAAACTCATCCTCTTCTCTTGGTTTAAGAACCCTAGGTCTAGATTTGGGTTTAATGTTGATGTATGTGACACATTCCATGTTTGATTGATGATTTTACTTAATTGATGGATGCTTTCATTAATGACATGAGTTGGGTTTTCATTTACATGTATTGAGCTTTTGACCTAGGAGGGAGAAAATCCTCTTAGAGCCCATTATTGGCGTCTTCGGGTCACTCCTCACCCTATATCGTCCGGGTAATCTCCGTGGGAGTCAATTTAATCAATCTCCTATGATATAGGGGTGCCCTAGGTTGAAAAGAGTCTATCACATTCATCGATTCGTCATTCCGGATCATTACCGAGGGAGTCCATCTCCTAACGGTAGAGTAATTGAGTCAATCGAGCTTTTGACCTAGGAGGGAAACAACTCCTCACCCCATATCGTCTGGGTTATCCCCGAGGGAGTGGATTGGATCGATCTCCTACGATATAGGGGTGCCCTAGGTTGAATAGTGCTCCTAACCATCCATCACTTCACCATTCTGGGTCCGTCCCGAGGGAGTTCATCTCCTAACGGTAGGATAGTGGGTTGATCGAGGTAGGATGTTACTCAACATCGATCATACGACGGAGCTAGGAGGATTCAAACCAAGGGAGATCCCTACCTTGTAAATAGCTAGGATTAGTGGTTAGTCTAGGTTACTTAGTTTAGTTGTATTAATCACTATCCTAGGTTGTCTATATAACGAATCCTAAACCTGAAGTAGGGTAAGCCTAGATCCCCGTAGTACGATAAATTTTTATTGCTTGATTGCCCTATGCTACACTCGGTCGCGATTATACTTGGTCGTCGAATGGGATGTTGTAGTTAGAACGAGTCAACTTGTGTTGGTTTGTGAACAGGGTGAGAACTTTTCATTTGCACGCTCTTGATGCATTTAAATGTCGTTTGTGGTGGATGTTGATATTACTTGTATCAGTTCATGTGTTGATGCCCAATAGCCATTGAGATTCGCCACTTTGATTCGTCCCCAAGTTATCTTGTTAGGTTGAGATATCACATCGTCTGGAAAAGTTTGGTTGGGGACAAGCAAACGTCTAAGTGTGGGGGAGTGATTCGGGTCTAATTTTACACATTTTATCCTCGTTTTCTTTAAACGTTTGATGCATTTATACTCCGTGAGGTGTGGTTTTAAGCAAGGTTGCACTTTGTTTTAGTATGTTTCAAATCCTAGCAGGCGAAACTGAACCCGAAATGGAAAGTGGGACGAAAAGGAGCAAAAACGAGTCAAAAGGTGGAAGCAGCTGAGGATCATGGCAGATGATGACTTTTCACGTTCTTATGGACCATGAAAAGAGCGCCCAGACCGTGAAGGGTTGAAGTTCCAGAAGCAAAATGCACACCTCACTGGAGTCCAACCTGTTCACGGTCGTAAGACCGTGAATCAAGCCCCAGATCATGAATTACCAAATAATCCAGAAGCAAAAAAGCACACCTCACTGGATCCCAGTCAGTTTACGATCGTAAGATCGGGAACTCAAGCCCCAGACCGTGAATAGACTAAGTGAAAACGGTGTGGATTTGCTCGACATCACAGTCCAGGGAGGATGTTCACAGCCGTGAACTGTGACCGTGAACTGACCGCGACCTGGGTATAAAAAGAGGGTTGAGCTGAAGGAAAAAGGGGAGAGACCTATTGTGAGAAAATTCTTCTTCTTTAGCTTTCTAGAGAGAGAAATTTATGAACCAAAGAAGAGAAGAGGTTAGGGTTTCAACTCCAAGCAATGTTTTTGGAATTTCTTCCCCAAAGGAGGATCTTTACACCACAAGGAGTAAGACTAGCATCTCCAAGATGGTTTTCCTTGTTCTTCCTTGTGTTTCTTCCTTTCCTAGCATGGAGTAGTTTCTCTTTTCACTTGGGTGTGTGTAAACCCTAGCTACAATGATCAGAATGTTTGTATGGATTGAATGATTAGTGTGTGGGTGTGTTTTAATACAAAATTATGAGGTATTTTCATGAAGATTGATAGTGTTTGAGCATTTCAACGTCTTATGCCATTTTAACCTAGGTAGAGAGGAATCTCCTTTGATTAGAGTTTTGTAAAAGCTGGATTTTCTTGA